AACTCCTCATTTCATGATCACTGGCCGAGAGATGCGACTGCCAATCGACCTAACCACCAACCTTTCGGTTAACAGCCGAACGCGCTAACCGATTGGTGGATTTTCGAAATGGCTGTAGGCCCACGGTAACCGGTATGCGACTAACCTCGTCTCAATTGTGAGCTCAGAAGGTGGGTTTAGTCGGTGGCGTTGACCTACTCACTTGCGTCTGATTGCCGAATATGTCCGTGCTTGAAGAACACGCATCTATGACTTTAAATGACTACCCAAGATCTTCCAGTATAGCTCAGCGCTTCTACCTAGATAGTACGCAATTGTCTTCCAATCCTACTCTGAACAATGCTGATTCGACCAACGCGGAGAACTCAAAACAACCGGGTACTGAGGATCCGTCTGGTCTTGTGGCGACCTCCACGGAACTGCCATCCTACGATCCGGAGGTGGAGAAAAAACTAATGAGCCATGGCGATGTGGTACCCTATTTCGGTCAACCTATCTATAATGTTCCGGTCCCATCAATGATCAACACTCTCAATTCGAATTATCCCAATGTAGTTACTCCGACGACGCAAGCCTTTTCAACTACGAACGCGATCAACTATTATGATTTGTTTGCAGCCCGTTCTCAAACTCAAACAATGACCACCCCTGTCCAACCGATACCCTACTATCCCGGACAGGATTATTCCAAATATCCACTCGTGCCACCACCATCTTCAACCAGTCTGGGATGTATACAGACCTATCCAGTGGGGCAGCATCCGGATTATTCGGATCGCGGTCAGACTGCCTTTCAGACATCATCAACTAATCGGCTCATGGAATCATCCTATTTTCCAACGTATGCCGCGCCCGGTACAGAAGGAACACGTTTCAACAGCTGTACAACAAGTGGTGGTACTATGGACGGACACAGTCGATGTTCCGATTCGTTGAACGGTCGACCAACACGTCATCCTTATCCAGCCTATCATCTCCCGACAACAGACGACCCACTGACACAAACCTGTGTTTCACCGCGTCCAGGCACAAATGGTGTTGAATTGTTGGTAAGCAATTTAGACTACAATATTGGAGCAAAAGAATGGCGTAAACTTCTCTTTACGCAACTCCAATCGACCATCAAGAATGTACACTCAATTGTGATTCAGACACAGGCAGATGGGAGCAATTGTGCTATCATCAAAGTGGGGAGTATTGAGGATGCCCGGCTGGCAATCTCACATTTTCATCGGAAAAAGATAGGATACAAACGAATCCAGGTAAATATTGTCAGTCCTAATGGTACTTTCGGCACGAAAGGATTGAAAAATGAGGTGGTTTCATTGCTTCGCTCCGTGTCAAGTAATGCGTTGCCGGTATGCAAATTTATTGATCTCTTCGAGAAACGTTTCCATCGGAGTATTAGTGTGTCCGATCTCTACAAAATGCGTGATGTGATCGAGATTAAGGAACAGCCGGGCAGTCAAGGTGGACGTCTGGTTGCACTCAGTGTTCGCGCACAACGATTTGAAGGCATTGAGGTCAGTCTGACTAACACTGTGTAAACGTTTTCTGTTTGTGCTAACTTGTTTATGAGGCTGTGGATAGAGAAGTCACAAGCAGGGATTTGTACAATGTATCCTTGATCATTTCGTTGCATCTAAACACATGCATAATGCAATCAATCACTTTGTCTGCCATTTGCACGTGTACAGATGCAACGAAATGATTATAGAGATATTGTAAAAACCCATGTTTGTGAGTTCTCCTATCAAATAACGTGTTCAGTATTTGTTTATTGTTTGATTTTTTTCTTCATACTGAGTCTTGAATGTCCATAAACACCCGATGACATCTTTCTAATTTCTCAAGTGATAATATTTGAGTGATTGTGAGAGAATCGTTCCTTCAAGAGGCCACTCTGGGAGGACTAACTCAATTAAGTTCATTATTCATATTGTACAGCCACACTGGATATGATTACCTTTCAGACCGTATCCCAATGTCCGTGACATGTGATCATTGTATTGTAGATCGGACGGGCTATGTGGAAAGCTTCCGTGATTCTTAGGATGTCGAGGGCTCAGTGGCTTTCATACCTTTTGTCTGAACATAAACGTATTACTCTTAATCCTTCGCAAATGACTACCGAAATTGATTGATTTTGCTCCACCGGGTCCGGCTCATCTCGCCCTGTAGAATTCATGTACCAATATCTGTGCTGTTTTTCGATTTCCTATCACCCTGTTCTTCACTCCTGTGTCGTTCATTCGTTTATTCCATCAGATTTGTACAATGCTCCCAAAATCTCCACATGCAGACGTTTGAAACGGTTTGTTCAACAGGGGAAAGAAATCACCCAGCTGAAAATTTCATCAAGCTTTTCAGTAAAAACTAACTATTTCGGCCTCACAACATAGCGTTTTCATTTCGAGTTATTGAAGCTACAGACGCAGGATAGTGAGGGGCCGAATTAATGAATGACAACCATACAACTTTCTCCACCACTGTGCCTATTTACTTTCAACTTAAGTCGAATGGCTCTCGTCTGTTTGGATTAGCGGATCGAACAATCTAAACAAATGAGTAATATTCAAATAGATTTAAATTCGGTTCGTTTTTCCTTCTGCCTCATAGACCACTTTGGACATGTTTTGTATCGCCTTTTAAGTTGCGCATAACAAAATATTTCGTGAAAAGTTTTGAATATTCTGTATCATGATTTTTGTAAACCGGTACATCTGGAACTATGCTTAACAAAATGAATAATACACGTTTCACTTTCCGAACTTTGTGTTGATCTAGACAAACCCCACAGCAGACCCCGTGCTCTGTCGTCGTCATTGTGTCGAAGGTAGTCAGGAATATTTGCAGGCTATGGATTGCGCTATGCTTCCGAATGTTCAAGTATCCCTGAATGTGTTTCGTCAACACGTACTGAAATTGCTACAAGATCATGGCGGTTCAATGCCTCTACTCAGTTTTCCTGCCTGCTACAAGGCTGAGTTTGGCGAGTTGACTGTGATACCGTCCAGTCCTAACCAAACCCCAACTGGTGGAAATGCGGACACAAGTGGAACGCTTAAGCAATCGAGCAACCCAACCACTACAGAGTCCGTGCAGCCAACTGCGGCTGATTCCAGTCAATCCGCCTCTGCAACCTCCACTGTGGCCGGAACATCAAGCGGTGCATCCACTGGCTCAAATCCCACGATGGAAACGGAAACTAACCATGAGCGAACATCTGAGGTAACAAATTCAGTACCTTCAGCTGGTGTGCCACTGGAACACTTGCTTACTTCCGTCCCATCCGTTCGCATTCTTGTTGAACAGAATGGGGTACGAAAACTTTTGTTTGACCCAGGTATGTTTTAGGAAGGTCGTTTTTCTTTGCGTACGGATTGATCAATCTTTGGACATTTTCCTTTCGGACGGTTTGAGACCCCTATTTACGATAGGTCTGTTTCGGTGAACACCGCCCAAAATGAATTGTAAAGTAAACTATGAAATTGAATAAATGAATACATTTGTTGATTCTGGGTTCGACCAGTTCGGTTCAGCCGAATCATTACATTTGACAACGATGCTTGCATATGCCTAATATAAAACGCACGTTAAGCCAGTTGAAGAAATAATAATCATCTCGGACCAAAGCGGAGAGGATAACCCTTCTTTTAATGACAGCAGTCCTTTACTATTGATATAACATCTTCAACATAATTTCCGTAATTTACATTCATATGTGGTTAATTACGAAATACGAGAGGGAGAAAAATCTATCGGTAGCAGTTGCAAACTTTTCAGACTAATCTGGACTCATGAATACCAAATGTAAGCTGGACAATTCAATAACCGGTTATACATTAATTCACCTACAACAATACTGTCTGAAAAGTTGCATAAATCATGCTTTGACGTCATTCTTCACACAGCTGCGTAGATAGAAGCAGTCAAATATAATCGATGTATGAGCCTCAACCCTCGTGTCAGTGACAGCCGATTCCCATTCTCGAAAACAATAAAAAGGGGGGTTGCACCTTCTCTGTTCATTCTGACCGACTGCAATATGCCGTCAGCACTCACCAGATTGCATATCCTGTCTCTAGCTGTTCATTCAGTACCCGTGTTTGGAGACTACTTGGGAGGTTCTACAGCATTTTGTCTATAGTTCTCCTTCTATAGTTGCATGGGGATGATGAAATGAGGCACATTTGATAAGCACCAGAGGTCGTTTTCAACGAGCTACCTAGTTCGTAGCTGACCCATACTCGGTCAGAATTACTTAATCTAGCAAACTTCAGGTATATTTTGTTGTGAACAAGGAGACTGAACGGGGATTCACAGTCAACTGAGTCGAACACTTCTTTCAAGTCAGGCATCACTATGATAGTTGGTCGACGGTGTGCATGTGTGCGTTCTGTGTAGCGTAACTCGAGCAATGGACGCACGGCGATAACGAGGTCGATTCAATCGCATTTAAACTGAAAACCAACCCGATTTTCACGGATTTTAGTACCTTTCTCTGTGTCCGTCTGTAAAGTGTCACCGAAGCTACCAATCTGGAGACCAATGAAACCAAACTTACTGCTCGGTGCTTTGTGCGGTCAGGGTGAGATGTCTTTTTGAAAATACGAAAGATTAATGGCTTACTCCGGTGTGACAGAATACAGTTCTTCGGTGAGATTTTCTGCAGGAAAATGATAATAGCATCTGTGAACGAATCTCTACTCCCTTTTCTTGAATTCGGCAAAGCTCATCAGATCCGACTTCTAATTCTAACCAGAGTTTGAATACAAAATTGTACTTCTGACTTTGTTTCATGGGGCTGGGGCGGGGGCGGGGGGGGGGGGGGGGGGTCATAATACCGACCAAGGAGTTTTATTTCTAATGGAAGATCTGGGATAACATGGGTCAACTGAATTGTAAATTATAATCAGAGTAATTCCATCGGCGATTAAGCCTTTGTACACAAATGTTGATGGAATAGTTTTATAGTTATCAAAGATCCTAAAAATACTAACCGTGTGACCTATTCCGAGAGATTTGAATATTCATGACAGTGTGCTTACTGTGAACAGGCTCGCTTTCTGCATTCCCCACACTGTCTTTTTTGTTTTCTGATATATATTTTAAGCAAACAGTGATTGAACAAAAGACATGGAGTGGAAAGAACTATCGTTCGCTCTTATTGTTTATTGCTTGATTGACTAAATAGGTAGCCAATGCACAGAAATAAAAAAACCATGTAAATACCAATTTATTAATTATTCAAGCTGTATTTAAACTTCCCTTTCGATCCGTCACCTAACACACTATGGCTAATTGTTCTAGTGACCAAATGGTCCTGTTCAAATTCAGAGTCAAACATTGTATCTTTATGTGAAATTCCGACTAGACTGTAACACTGAGTCTAAGCCTTCATTCCTCGATCAACTACTGATTAGAAGTTTCAAGTTACTCATTTAGGGCAAGTCAACCGAGATGGGAAGTGTACTGCACGATTAATGGACAATCTCATCTCCATGACTTGGTTTGAGGAACCACAGAAGACCCCGGTAGGATGAGCGTGGTATTGAGTCCGACCGCGTCAAAAGTATCTGCTGGGTGGCAAAAGTGGTCCTGTTTAGATTCTATTTCACAACTATGTAGCCGACAAATCTTGTTAGATAAGTTAGACAGATCAGCTGATTATTTGATGGGTACCATTTATCCTTTCGCATTCGTCTACAAGTAAAACAGCTTAGTAAACTCTGGGTCAATTGATGCGTTGCAAAGAAGAACTCGTGTAATAACTCGCGGAGAAAGGG